CCCCCCCCCCTTCAGCCATTGAAATAATGCCACAGTGAATGCATGCCATAATCAAAGCTAAAGGCGATCATGATCATGTCACAATCGGCTGGTGCTCGTGAATCCAGTGGTGCAGGCGAGGACTCAGAATAATGTAAAATAAAGAATTTATTAACAGAACAAAAGAGCTGACGGGGCAACAAAACATAGAATGAACAGGGGAGTACTCACAATACAAACGGGTCATCACCAGTGAACAGATAACAATACTAGGACTAACACAGCGACACAGACTTATATACAGGAAACACCAATTAGACCAAGTGATGACACCTGTGAGTAATCACAGATGCCAGAGAAGGAGAAAGAGGATGCAAGACATGAACACGACACAAGATGAGGCTAGATACTAGAGCAACCCAAACCTTATAAAGAGAAACAGAGGGTCAGGGGGAACACAGATATAAACACAACACCAGGGACAAAACCACAACTCCTACAGATTAACCTTTGGGTTTTCAATATAAGGAGTTTTTTTTTTAAGCAATGCATTAATTAGACTTTTAACTTCTTGTTTGATATGCTATACGTTGTGTTGAAATTTAAAATGCCTGAAAATATGTACTGATAAACTTTGTTTCATGTGTTATTTTAGAAACCATTTGGGTGGAGGCCGGTGTCCCAGTAAGGCCACAATTAAAGGAAAAACCGTAGTAATAACAGGCGCTAACACAGGCATTGGGAAGGCAACGGCTCAAGAACTGGCAAAAAGAGGTGCAGAGACATAACTAACTGTTTGTCTTTGATTTGTTCCAGGAAGACACAATAGTTTAAATCTGAAGCAGTTTATTTTTTTTCTTTCACAATTTTCTTTTCCTACATCTTTAGGGGGTCGGATCATCATGGGATGCCGTGATATGGAGAAGTGTGATGCAGCGGCAAAGGACATACGAGGGAAAACGCTAAATCCTCACGTTTATGCGTGCCACCTCGACTTGGCCTCCATGAAGTCTGTCCGAGAGTTTGCAGAGAAAATAAACAGAGGTGATGGAAATCAAGCATAGTCTCTTTTTTTTTCCTTTTTTTTTTTTTTTGTTTACAATCAAAGAAAAAAGAAAACTTAATAATTAAAGTATTGCCTTTATTGCAGAAGAGAATCGGGTGGATGTACTGATAAACAATGCGGGGGTCATGAGGTGTCCAGCATGGAAGACAGAGGACGGCTTTGACATGCAGTTTGGAGTTAATCATTTAGGTATTTATTTCAGCTGAAACAACTAGAAGAGTCTAAAGTTTGTATGAGAAACCAGTTTTTTCCTATAACTGATGCAAAGTTTGTGCCTTCCCCCAGGCCACTTCTTGTTGACAAATCTCTTGTTGGACAAGCTGAAAGACTCTGCCCCCAGCAGAGTGATCAACCTGGCCTCACTCGCCCACATTGTTGGAAAGATTGACTTTGAGGACCTGAACTGGGAGAAGAAGAAGTTTGATACCAAGGAGGCGTACTGTCAGAGCAAACTTGCCAATGTTCTGTTCACCAGAGAGCTCGCCAAGCGGTTAGAAGGCGAGCAAACACGCTGCTGCATCTGTGGGCATGTGTGGGAAGGAGTACAGTCCATGTTCCTGTTTATAATTAGCCAATGGATGGGCTTCAACAATGCTTTCTGTGTGTGTGTGTGTGGTTGCGTGTGTGTAACAGGCACAGGGGTCTCAGTGAATGCTGTACACCCAGGAGTCGTTGCCACGGAGCTCGGGAGACACACCGGTCTGCACCAATCACGGTTCTCCAGCTCGGCGCTCAGTGAGTAGCTCTCTTCTTCTGCTGAACTTTGAGTTCAGACCAATCAATACATGCTCACCTAATGCAACAGTAACAGCTGGATTAAGCTGTGTAGACTCTGGTATCAGACATCAGTTTCTCATAATTTAATAATATTTTCAGCGTATGTAACAGTTAATATTAACTGTTTGAGTGCAGTTTGGAAAGTTTATTTTTGACAGATTTCAGATAACATAATAATTATGGGGGAAACATTCTTAAGCTTCTCCTGCATGTAGCACTCAGTACACTTTTCTTAAAAATAGGGATGCACCGATCCACTTTTTCACTTCCGATACCGATACCGATATAATAGTTTGGTATTGGATGTGATACAGAAAAGCAGTGCTGAATTAACTTAAAACTTTTTTTTTACACAAACATAAATGTACTGAATTAAAAAATTTTTGAAAACTCTGCATCAGTACAGCACATTTAAATACACCAATAGCTTCACGAGCTTGGTCAAACATGTAAAAACAACACAACTTTAATTTGTTCAGTCAGTGCAGTTATGAGTGTAACATCCAGTGCAAAATAAATAATAATAAAGATACTGAAACTGACCGAAACAATGAGTTGACAACTTTGGTCAAACATGAAAAATAATAAACTTCAACAAACCTTTCAAATGGTTCAGCAATTCTAAATATAATGTAAAATAAAAAATAAAGGAGCTATATAATAAGAGGAAAAAACAATAGCCCCACTAGCTTGGTTGGCAGATATTTAAAATAAACAGCAATCAGTTCCTGTCCTTATGGATCGGTCACATTATCACCGATACCCGATCAAAAGTTTTTTCTGATATATATACTAGCATGGGTGCACCTCTATCGATACCAATTCAAGAATTTTTCGATATTTATAGTGATACCAATATTGGATCGGTGCGTTGCTACTTAAAAAAATTTTTTTAATTGCCTTCAATTAAAGATGGTTCATATTAAGGAGTCCATAAGTATTAGAATAATTTTTTTTTTTAATTTCAATTATCAAAACTAAAATTTCTATAGAATTGTTTCCCCATTATTCTATTTTTGTGATAGAAGTATTGTTAGATAAACAATGAGATGGGGTCAGTAATTGGCATATTTTATTGTATCTTCAGCTCTTCTGCTGACAGACGCGTAACAGAGAGTCCTAATAAGCTCAGATTTGTTCATACCTGCATTACAGAAGTTCTTCTACCAGTATGACAGCATGTCTTACTAATCCTTAAATAAATTGCAATCAAAGTACAATCAAAATATGGTGATGGAATTGTGCCCCTTGACAAGAACATGGGTGTAAAATTACTGCCACTCCTGAAACAACTCTCAAAATAGGTTATACTTCTCTGTCTATTGAAAACATGATGCTATTTAAAGATCATTTGAATGCTTTATTTTTAATTGCTAAAAGACAACATGTCAAAACTTGGCTTTTTATTTAAAAGAGGTAATGAAGATTTATTGGAGAATTGAATGTGACTTAACAAAATGAGTTGAGGCAGGAACAGATTTAATGTTTTGGCTTATTTTATTTTAAGAATGATTTTTTTAAATTACTCTTTTGGGAGGTTTTGTTTTTATATTCTACAACCAAAAAATGTTTGGAAGGCTATGGAAATATAAATGGATGGAAAATTGCCATCGTATTTCCACAAAATGGTGCAGGTACTTAGTTTAAACATTTGTTATGTATACTATGTTCCATAAAAAATAAAATAAAAGTTTATGAGATTTGCAAACTTTCAGATTTGCATTCTTTTTTATTAAATTTGTACAAAACCTCCCAACTTTTTGGGAATATCTGGTAGTGGTTGTATTAAATTGGCTCTGATGAACGTCCTCCGTTGTGGAATGGTTTAATGTTTAGACCTTTTTATCCACAGGTCCCTTTTTCTCCCTGCTGGTGAAGAGTCCAGAGCTGGGGGCCCAGCCTAGTGTCTATCTGGCTGTGGCCGAGGAAATGGAGGGGGTGACTGGGCAGTACTATGATGTGATGACTGAAAAGGAACCAGCCCCTCTGGCCCTGGATGATGAGACAGCTCGCAGGCTGTGGGAGGTCAGCAGCAGGCTGGTGGGTCTGCAGGAGCAAGGACAGCCGAGCCTGTCAAGCCCATCAGCAGAAGTTCAGAGTGAAGCTGGACGGACAGATCCAGCACAGAGACTCGTGCAGAGCCCCAAACCAGACAACAGACCTGCCGGACCTTAGGTCTGCTCACACCTCTGAGCCAGCAGAGGCTAAGGAACTTTGACCTGATCCAGGTTTTTAGAAACAGTTAAAAGTCGGAGACTCTGAATGTGGAGACCTGTGTAATGATTCTTCTGCCATTATTTGCCTCAAAGAGGAGTATTGGACTTTGAATTCATAAATAAGTAAAAAAGCTAAACTCAGAGGCGAAGCAAAAAACATCTCATTTAATTACTGCGGTGCACTCAGGGGTTTAAATCGTATATTCATTTTTTTGTCTTTTGTCTGTTATTCTTCTTTGCCCTGTTTTGTGTCACATAAAATGGTCCAGAAAGGAACTAAAATAGAAGAATTTAATGCAAATAATGACAGTTTTTCTTCATAAAACAGTTTTAAAAAAGTGCTCAGAAGCCCATTTACAAGAAGATCCAATGAAAAGGATTAATTTTGTTACACTAATAAAATCTTACATATTCTTGCATGTTAGCAAAATTCATTTAGACTGTTAGATGTGCCTTGAAAAATATTTTATTATTTTTCTTTTCTGTTCTGAAAGTTAATTTGCAAAAGTCAATCACATTGATTTATCTGAATTTGCCATATAAGAGTTATAAATACCAAATTGTAAAGTTAATTCATTTAAAATATTCTCATTGATGCAAAGGTTTGGACTTTGTAGCAGATTTTGGCCTTGAAAGACACCACCACATGTACCACATGGGGTGTGAATGACAAATAAAAAAACCTGGAATCCATAAATGTATTTATTTTTTTTTATGTGCTTGCCTTTATCACAATCCTTCCATTCATTTTTTTTTTTTATGACAACATTTTCTTTCAGCTGTTGGTTGCTATACATCCCACAGTATGATACTTCCTCTACCGTACCTCACTGTGGAAATTATGTTCTTGTGGAAAAGATTGGCTCCTTATTTCCACTTGTTTTTGGAAATCTTTGGTTCAGATGTATTTTGAAAAACTCCAAGTTGATTTTCTTATGTTGGTCTAATTTTTGTGACTTTTTCTGGCCAAAGGAACAGAGCTCAGGTGGTATTTTTTTTTTTTTTTTTTTGTCACTTTTATCAATGAGCCAGTGTAGTTTTGCCAAGAGTTCATTTTATTAGTTATGCTATGGTGTTTTCTTAATTCAAAAGAATAATCTAGACTTTTACCACCACCTGCCTGTCAAACAATAAAATACTTGGTTACAGCTTTACCACATTTGACTACTTTGTAATGTTAAAGAATATGCTGCTAATTGATTTTCATGTGAAATCAAAATCTATAGAATGAACCAGTTAACAAAAGTTGTAAAAATACAAAGTTTGTGCTTCTTAAAAGTTTAGACCAGCTCAATAAAATGAGCACTTTTGTGGATGACTCAGAAAAACAAATCCAGTTACAAAGCACTCATCTTACACCCCTGATGCTCTTAAACATCCATTGATGCATGTCTGACAAATGATTATTCGTGGGATCTGTTGCAAAGAGCTTTTTTCTTACGGTGACTCCCAAAGCACAGATGAGCCACTAATGCACTCTGATCAGCATCGACTCTGAAACTGGAAACCCTGGATTGTTTTATTCAGTGTTGGCTTACAGGTGGAGACCCAAGCTGGTTCCATTATAGAAGATGGCTGAAATTGTAGAAGAGCACCAAGATCACATGCTTTTTCTTTGCTCTTTGGACAGTCACACTTTAGTTTTCTTGAATATGGTATCAAAACATTTCAGTCTGTACTGTCAGGCCCAGTCTTTAAAGATAGAAGATTCAGGCCCAAGTTTTTTGTTTTCACACTGTACCTAGTATTACATATTCTAACTAAAATAATGCCTTTTATTTGTTTGTACCAGTTAATTTTGATTATGCGAACAACAAAAGACAAAAAGAATAATTGCAGAATTAAAAAAGAATGAAAAAGTAGACAAAAGTAAAATTAATTACAATCACCGTTTCCCCAATTCTTTTAGCTTACAGATGGAAAAGGAGTGGGAAGAAGTACATGCTTTTTTTTTTTTTATTTGACCCCCTCTTCACCAATTACCAATCAATATTCATCCAGTTTATTTAATAAAATAAATCTTTAAAACAATACTAGACAATATGCACATTACATACAGTACAATGCCAGTTATAATCATCATGATGGTTTCAGTCCAGTTCAGTTTACCAGTATTTATGTGGTGCCGCCAAGTCACAACAGAAATCATCTCAGGGCACTGAACAGAAACATTAATATACATTTAAAAAAAGCCAATTAATAAAAATGTTCTATCTAAGGAAGTCAGCAGATTGTGTTGAATCTTCATTTTGTCACAGTCTCCCATCCTGAGCAAGCACAAAGGCAACAGTGGAAAGGAAAAACTCCCTTCAACAGGAAGAATCCTCCAGCAGAACCAGGCTCAGGACGGCCATCTGCTTCGACCAGCTGGAGTTTGAGACAGGAAGTAGAGACAAACACAGAACATGGAGAGTATAGAGCAAGTAAAAACAGCAGCAGAGTGAAGAAAAAGTGGTCAGTTTGTCCTCCAGTAGTCTAAGCCTAAAGAAACATAGCTAAGGGATAGCTCAGGAAACCCAAGCTGACCCTGACTATATAGGATTTATGAAAAAGGAAATACTTAAACCTAATCTTAAAAGTACCCGTAGTCAATGTGTCAGCCTCCCAAACAGAAACTGGACTTTTATTCCAAGAGAGGAGCCTGATAACTGAAAGCTCTGCCTCCCATTCTATTTTTGGAAACTCTAGGAACCACAAGTAAACCTGCAGTCTGAGAGCAAAGTGCTCTGTTAGAAAAAAATGGAACAATAAGCTCTGTTTTATAAGATGGAGCTAGGTTGTTGAGGGCTTTGCATGTTAAAAGTAAGATTTTCAATTTTATTCTGAATTTGACAGGGAGCCAATGGAGAGAAGCTAAAACTGGAGAGATATGATCCCTCCTACGAACGCTCATTAAACTCTGGCAGCAGCATTTTGGATCAACTGGACCTTTTAAAGATTTTTTTTTTGGACATCTAGATAATAAAAAGTAGCAAAACACCAGCCTAGATGTGATTCCTATCTGTTCCCAACTGAGATGTTTTACAGTCCCAGTTGGGAATATTAATTACTATGGTAATTTAGTACTTTACCACTGCAATACTTCGTGATACTTTGGAATGAACATATTTAATATGTGCTTTCAACTAACTCTCTCATCTACAGTTATCACAAAAAATCAGATTTCATTAACTCTTTCTATGTCAGTCCCATTTATTTAAACTGTGCTTTTATATTTAATTTGCTACTTTCAAATAACATTACAGTATTTTGAGTTTTGTTGACGTTAAGTAATAGCCTATTTGTATCAAGCCAAATCTTCAGTTTAAATATTTCTGTCGTCATTTTGCTCAGTTGTTAAAATGTTAAAGTTAACATCATCTACAATCCAGCTGAAATTTTGGTGTTTATAGTTTAAGATAAAAATAATGATTGATTTTTTTTTCATTAATTATTTGGTAGACAAAAAATGTGAAACTCGTTTATTTTTATTTACCTTTAAACAGTATTTGACCAACATAATGCAGGTTATTTAGCTCCCCCTGGTGGTTTTACGTGATCAAACAGCAAAATCTAATTTTAAATTTAAATTATAATTTTTTTGTAATAGTCACTGGAAAAACAAAAAGTAATGTCACTTTTTAAACTTATTTCCCTTTAACCATAGTACATTAATGTTAGACTAATAACAATGTGTATGATGGACAGTTCAGGTTATATCAGTCTCTGAATGTCCACATAATAAAACACCGAGATTGTTGTTACATATTATGTATCATTATCTGAACCGTTCTTATTTACCTTAAAAAGCGCACAATGCAGTCACATCTGATCTTATATACGGAGGATGGAATGCGATCAAATTAAATAAATAAATGCATAATACATACATAATGAAATGAATCATTTAATTATTAAATTCATAATTAAATCGTCAAATACACAATGTAATTGTTAAATACACAATTAAATAATAAAATATACCTTTCAATTTCTTTATTTCATGATTTATTTATTTATTTATTTAATTTTGTGCACCCTCCAGTGAAATTATTTTAACTGCCAGTTTCACCCAGGGTGAAATGTGACACAATTAAATAAATAAATCATGAAATTAAGACTTTAAAGGGTACATTTGGGGGAGTGGCGGCACAGAGGCTAGAGAAGATGGGCCTGTGATTGGAAAGTCTTAGGTTCAACTCCCAGTACCGTCAACATTAAAATGTGGGTGGAAAAGGTGAAACACCCACATCTGCCTCCACCCTCATTTGCCTCACTCTGGGCCCCTGAGCAAGGCCCTTAACCCCCACCATCTGCTCCCAAAAACAGGTCTCTCTTGAATATGAGTTCTCTTGACTCAGTGACACTACCTGTATAAATAAAGGGTAAATGGAAAAAAAAGGTATATTTAATAGTTTAATTGTATACTTAATGATTTAATTATCTATTTAATATTTAAATTGTACATTTAATTATTATGTATTTATTTATTTAATTTTGTCACAGTCCATCCTCCACATAGGGGTAAATAAAGAGGAAACACTACCTTAAGGGACTCCATTACCCACAATGCACCGGGTTAAAGAGCTGGACGTTGACACACGTACGAAGTTCGACTTTGCGGTATCAAAACAGGGAAAACAGCCATTCGCGGTCAGTAAAGGGGAGTAATAAATGTAGGCAGTTTCCGTGAAAGTGCTTCGAGTTAAATTTTCACAGCAGAAGAGTTGGGCTTTTATTTTTATTTTACCGAAGCTGCGGAAGTTCGTTTTCTTTGAGGTAATCCGACGAGAACGACGTGACAATTTAAAGGAAGAGACCTGACCAACACAAGACACAGTGTAGGTTATGACTTTAGACTATAGCAAATAGATTTTATCTAGTTAAATGTCATTTCATGTGATTTTTAAAGCCTTAGCTTGCAGGTCTGTGTGCTCTTCTTTTGACTGAATTACCATACAGGTTTTTTTTTTAGCTTTAGACAGAGAAGTTGTCGGCAATGTTAAGTGTTGGTTTAATGTGCACTGAGCCTTAACATGTTAAAGTGCATGTTTTGGTGCCAGAACTCCTACAAATATTTTCTAGTATAATACAAACACAATATATTCTGCAGTTTGTGATGATAAATGTGGTGAGATGGTGTTCCACCCTCCACACTCTGTGCACCAGGTGTTATTTGCTGTTAAATCTAACATTTACAGATTAGTTTACATAACAGATTTAACATCGTTAAATCTAAGTGTTAATGAGTGTTGTTTCATTTAGCATGACGGAGACCAAAAGAAAAAGAAAGGAGCTTCCTGAAGATGTTGCCTCAGATGACTGCTTGGTTTCATACACATACATCTACAGTCCAGATCTACTCAAGTAAGAATGAAAACCCATTCATTCCCTGCTACCATTTATAATCTAAATGAGTTGCTTCAGTCTTCTTGCATCTACATTATAATATCTGTAAACACTGTTTTATATTTCAGAGATCAGGTTGCTTTTATCACAGGAGGAGGATCTGGAATTGGACTCCGTATGGCCGAGATCTTCATGAGGTGAGAAGGACTGCATGTAAGATTACTGACCAAACTATCATACAATATAAAGACATATTCTAGGCATTACATTCATGCTCTGCCCTTCCGTTTTGATCCTCTCTGTCTCTGGAGCATTTCCATATTCTCATCCAGACAGGGGCAGCTGTGGCTGAGTGGTTAACGCGGTTGTCCTCCAGTGGGAGAGTTTCATTCAGCCTTTATTTATACACGTTAATCCCATTGAGCCTCAGGATTCATTTACAAGAGAGACCAGTTTTTTTCAACAAAGAGTGATGACAACAGTGGACAACAAAAGACAGTCGTAAAGGATGCATACAAATGGAGAATAACAAGTGAAAATAAAACGGTATTTAAAAGAAGATGCAACAAACAAACAAAAAAACAGCTAGGTTGTAAGGCGATGTAGAAAACTAAAAACAGGAACATGTCTGCATTGGTTTTTGCCAGGAACTTGGCAGATGTTTGAAGCCACTTAGAGAGGTCAAGGTCAAGAGCTTCAGATGTTTTAGCAAGATATTCCAGGAGCGGAGTAGGAGAAGACACTTTTGCCCAGTTCAGTCTGCATTGAGGGAACACTGCAGGTAATAATGTCCTGAGAGCGCACGCTGTAGCTGCACTCACACAGAGACATATAGGAGGAGATGTATGAAGGCAACAGACCAAGAAGTGATTTAAAGATGAAAATGTACCAGTGGGAGAATATGTGTGAGGTTAATGATGACCAGTTAACCAGTGAATACAGGGTGCAGTGGTGGGTACGGTAGTTACAGCCAGTTATGAATCTTACTGCACCATGATAGACAGCATCCAACATCTGCAGGTGCTTGTAGGAGCGTTCATGCAAATAATGTCACCGTAATCAATGGAGGGAAGGAAAGTCACAGTCACAAGGTGTTTCCTAGCATTTAGTGTTAGACAGGATCTATTTCTGTAAAAGAAACCAGTTTAACTTTCAGTTTCTTTACTAAGTTTTCCATGCGGAGCTTAAAAGAGAAATGCAAATCGACCAAGATACCCAAATATTTATAGGAATCGACAAAATCAATAGGGACACCATTCGAAGATAAAATCAAAGAAAGAACTGCTGGGACTGACTTCCTGTTTAAAATGTGCATCACTTTGGTTTTGTCGGCGTTTAGGACAAGTTTGAGACGGAACAAATCTGACTGGATGAGGTCAGAAGCAGATTGCAAAAGCTGGAAAACCTTAGCAACTGTTTTAGCTCGACAATAAACAACTGTGTCATCAGCATAAAAATGTAATGATGCATCAGGGATACACTGATCTACATTACCTTTGTAGATTGTAAAGAGGGTGGGTCCTAAGACTGAGCCTTGTGGTACACCATTGTTGACTGTTAAATAACTGGAAGAAGTACCATTATGTTGAACACATTGCCTCCAATCTGAGAGATAGTTAGAGAACCAAGCAATGGTGTGTTCTGAGAAACCAATTTCTGAGAGCTTATGACATAAGATGTCATGAGCCACAGTGTCAAAAGCTTTAGACTAGGGATGCACGATGTAGGATTTTTGGCCGGTATACCGATATGTTAAAACTTATTTGGCTGATAATCGATGCCGATATTTTATATACTTTCCATTGTCAGAACATAGCTCTCTTATTTAGGCTTATTTGCTACAAAAATTGTGCAACAGCTGTAAGAGCTGGTGACATATATTCAGTAACAGCCATATGATATGCATAGCACTTTAACTTATATTAAATGAAAAGTGTTAGAATGTTATTTATTAGCATTAGTCACCTGCGATGCTGTCCCACTTGTGAAGGCTTGTTCCAGGTTCCTAGCTGCAGTGTGGGATCCTCTGCACTCTTGTGCATGAAGGGCAGCCTTTTTAAGTTCAACGTTTTTGTCTATCCATTGTGCCGTAAGACTAATCATGCTAACGGGGCTAACACGACGTCCAAATGTCTGTGGTAAAACTCACCCAACAAGCTGTGCTATTGGCTATTAGCTTCTCGATGACGTTGGAAATGACGTCTTGTTACTCAGGCAACGTTACGCCAGAAAAATATCTCCGACTGGGGACAATGTAGCGAGGCTCAACTTAGTCCATAAGTCTTTGGAATCTGACATCCTCACCAACGAAAAATAAAACTTCCACACCGCCGACATTATGAATTTTCCTCTCCGCTGTGAGATCAGGTAGGCGCATGTGACGTCATCACGTTGTGCTGCCGCTGCAGGCAAAAACAGCGCCTTTTATATCGGCAAGTTATTTTAATGGAATGGCCAATATTGAACTTTAACGCTAATATCAGCTGATAACATGCAGATAATATTGTGCATCCCTGCTTTAGACAGGTCTAAGTAAAGTGCAGCACAATAATCCTTAGCATCCAAAGCTTCAACAATGTCATTAAAAACCTTCAGTGAAGCACTCGTTGTGCTGTGTTGTTTCCTGAAACCAGATTGATGGAGAGGTAAGATGTTATGTTGGGGGTTCGATTCCACCAACAATCACATGTTGAAGTGTCCCTGGGCAGTACACTGAACCCCTCCTTGCCTCCAATGTGTGTCCCGTCAGTGTATGAATGTGATCTACAGCACTGATTAGTCTCTGCAGATTCAAATGAATTTAATTAATTAACGCAGTTAACGCCAAAGTATTTTAATAGTTACCGTAGCTTTGTAGAGATGTAGTAGAGTGCCGTATGAATGGGTAACTGAGAAAACAGGTTGTCGTGTAAAGCGCTTTGACTATCTTTATTAGATAGAAAAATACTATATAAGTACGATACAGTTCATCTACCATTTATCCACATGTTACACCATGACTTCCTTCTGCTTGTTTTATTGTCACCCCGCTATGTTACATTTATTCTTTTCATCCTGTCTCTTTCACAGACATGGCTGTGACACTGTGATTGCCAGCAGAAACTTGGACAAGCTGAAAGAGGTGGGTTCTTTCTTATTATTGTTTCTAAAATTCTCAAAATAAATGAATAAATAAATAAATCTATATGATGACTTTGTTTTGGCCTCTTTTTTT